CACTTTATCACATTTTTTTCCTGTAGAGGCTTTGTAGCTTAGTTGTAGGGGTGCAGATGGATGAGGGGTTAAAAACTGAATGGGCCTTTAGACTCAAAGCTAGTGAACAAAAAGAAAAGCCCAAGTGAGCAGTCTATAGGAATGATACAGGTGAGGTTGTGGTGCAGACTGATGTCATTAATTTCCATCAGTCACACGGACAATGGACTACATAAACTGAAATTAAATGCTACCAAGACACCAAACAGGAGAAGAGCAGAGCTGCTGCTCAAAGGGACTTTGGCACATAAGGTCCAAAAGAGTAACATGAGGCAAAAGCACAGGCTTTACCTCATGCCAGCTCATGAGTTGACAGCCTAGAGACTGCATCTGTAGAAGTGGAACTGGATGTCCTGATGCAACAGGAACAAAGATAGTGCTGTAGCCTTGCAGCTGATGCAAGTTTACTGCATTGGCAAGAGTGTGGCCAGCAGATCATTCAAAGTGATCATTACCCTTCTGTGTGGCATAATGGTGCCCTATCTGCATGACTGTGTCAGCTTTTGGAGACGCCAGTGATAGGAGTCTTAACAAACTAAGAGTGCAGAGGAGGACTGAAAGGGTTAAGGGGCAGGAGGAAGCAAAAGGCTGAGAGTACTAGGTTTCTTCAGCCTGAGTGGTGGATCTTGTAGCTGTTGTCTGCTACAGAACAAGAGGGTTACAGAGAAGATGAAGCCACAGGTGCATTGCAAAATGACACTAGACAGATGCCCAGTTGCAGCAAGAGAAATTCCAGTTGGATAAATGAGGTAGGGGGGAAGAAACTAACAGGCTGCTCAGGTGTATTGTAGAATCTTCTTTCTTCAAGATTTTCATGTACAACTGGAGAAACTGAGCAACCTGTTCAGGCTTTGAAAATGGCCCAGATGTGAGCAGAAGGTAGGACTAGATACCCTTCAGAGGTGCTGTCCAACCTGAATGATTCTGAAATTCCAGACTATCCAATACAGTCTGTGTATTGTATGCTTGGATGGCTTAACTATGCAAAAGCATAAATGGCTATTTTATTCTGGCCTATTGCTGAGTGCTTATACTTTTAGGGTGTTTACAATTTATCTAGAGTGGCACAGAAGTATTTGTTTTTATGCAATAATAAAATCAATCTACTTCATTTATGTAAACAAATTCAAACAAGGTGGAGCACAGGAAAGTTATTTTTACTGTGAAACAACTTTGGTACTGGACTTTCCCCTGCCAGCGAGGCTTAAATCCCTTGACATTTAGCTCAGTTTCCTCTTTGCTTTACACCTGTGCAACATCTCACTGAAGTCACAGAACTATCATAAGAATGAACATGTCAGTTTCTTAATTACACCCATGGAGCAATGACATCTTGACAGCTTCTTTCTTTCTTTGTCACTGAACTTATCTTGAGATCACCTCAAGGTTACCAGTACAGTAGCAGTGGCTGAACAGGGAAAAGCCCTGCACTATTCAGGTCTCCAGAGTTCAAAGGGTGTTAGCTGAATTGGTGACTCTTAAATTGGTGACTTCTAAATCCATTTAGGTTTCAAGGTCCTGGGTTGTTTAGTAAATTTACTATTTCTTCAGATGACTGAGTCACCTGTGCTGATATACTCAGTGTGACTGGCCATAAAGGTCCATTCATGAAGACACACGTGGTATTCTTTGGTCTTTTTTGCTCACCTAGCCCTGACTAGTGCTTGTATAATTGCCAATATAAGTTGTTCATCATTCAATTACCATTTGGGCCAGGGGTAGTTATTTGGGTATTTTTGGTAGTTGTATTTCTTAGGCTGGGGCTCCATTACTGCTTCTAAATGAAAATGAGGTTTGCACAGTAGATCTGTACTGTCATTTGAATATTCTTTTCCTAAATTTTCAGCAGCTACAGCTTTTTCTTACAGTTGTTGTAAGACATAAAAGCCCAAGTAGGTGGGTGTAATAATGCAAACAAAACAAAATCACTAAGAGCTGCAAAACTGAAATTCAGCAAAAGAGACAAAACCACGATGTGCCCATATGGAAACTCTACAATATTGAAAATGTTTGTTTCTTTAATTCTGAGAGGGAAAAGACAAAGATTTTTTTCAAACCTTGATGAAAATGTAAAATTAGCAACAAAGTCAATCTACGTGCACTTTAGACAAAAAGAGCCCTTTCTGAAAATATTAGCATTGAAAAACATAATGTTTGTGGAAAATTTAGCAAATAACATCAAGTTACTTAAATATACTGCTTTATAAATATACTGTTTTTATAAATAAAACATAAAACCCAAGGAATTGATTGAACCAATGCTATACATCCAAATGCATCTCTTAAATTAGTTTGATTATCATAACACCCTATAAGAGACTGTAAAAGCCTACCAGCATAGGCAGATTCTCTGGCATTCTTTAAAAGTGGAGCTCTTTCACCCACAAATTTAATTGACCTTCTTGCCCCCTGCCTTTCAGAAACAACAGCCACAAATGCCATCTGTATTAGCAATATAATGCACTGAATGACAGTTTTGATCCTTTATCTGAGTTATTAGAACAAAGAATAAGTGGTTATTAAAATTATGACTGACTTTAGGGGTCAGTAATACTTGACATTTATGTGAGACTTTTTTTAAAGAGCAGAAATAAACTCCGTAGGCAAATGTCAAATACAAGCTCACCCTCCACTGGTCATGGCTAATAACCTGCCCATCACACCAGAGGACAAAAGGTGGCTGTACAATAGAGCAGCCAGTAACTAGAGATTTCCCAGGAAGCTTCACACAGCAGTGCTAGGCAGACTTGTGAGAAAGAGAGCTGATGTTACATTCCAGTACACATTAACAAGCTGTTGGGCCTAAAGTGCTGAATCCTGACTCCATTTGACAAACACATCTCCTGTTGAATTCAGCACAAGCTCAGCAGGGGTCAGTCTGTGGCTCAGACTGGAGGGATAGTCAGCAGGACAGCTATTTAAAAGTGATCACACTTAACCACTTTGCTGTGGTCTTCCTCTTTAGCCTTCATCATTTTGGAGTTCACAAGGTCATTTCACTAATTAGAGCACCAATCCATTTATCCACAAAACATTTGTAGACTGAGATGCCCTTTTGGATACAAGGATTATGGTTACAATTGCAATAGATTTGATGACTGCAAGAAAGTTAAGGGACAGGAAGCAGGGAGAAGAAATCAAGTAGTGGTGAAGATCTGTGTTTGTTTCTTCATTCACTTACACTAAACTGTTTCTATTACACAATATTTTTTTTTTAAATTCCAAATATTTCCATTTTGCAGTCTGCTTTTCTTCAGCCATAATTCTCTAAGGACTTAACATAGTAACCCATGTGTAAGGAGGTGTAACACCCCCTGTCAGTTGGTATAGAGTCTAATTTTCTAGCTGTACTGACTGATCCAATAAAGGATTCTATCTCTATCTACAAATTTTATCACAAGAAATTTACCGATGAAGATTAGATTTTTTCTAACCTTCAGGCCAAAATCCCACACGTGATTTCTCAGCAGGAGAGGTAAACAATAGACTTGACTTCCTGTCTTTTCATTTTCTTTCTGGGCTAAGGCATGCTACTGATTGCTTTAGTTTTATCCTAGGGTCATCCTTTGTGTTTTACCAAGGATGCCCTAGGATATCCAGCTCCCACTGGAAAAGTTTGGCAGATCAGCCTCTCCTCTCTGCAACACTTCAGCTTGGACAAAAAGTACATTCCGAATCACATTTATCACAGTTCTGCCCCAGACTTGTGCCAGAGTAAATAAGTAACATACATCTGCCACAATCAAAGATAAAAACAATAGTATGTTCAGGAAGCCAACAATAAAAATAAGAAACGTCTTGAGAGAATCCAAATAGGAGCTAAAAAGATGAGTACTGACAGTGCCCAGAGCCTCCATGGTACTGGGGCAGTTGCCTGCTACAGTCGAGGTGATAAAGTTCTCTTCTCTAGCCTGAAAGAGACTTGAAGGCCTCAAAATCAACTACAAACAGAATCAGAAAATATGGTGTATGGAAAGAATAATTTTATTAATCTCCACAAAATAAAACTCTTGGATAAGCCACTGAAAACAGGATCATGCAGTACTTAGTGGCCAGGAGGAAAGTATTTGGTTTGTGCATACTAAAAAAACAAACAAATATCTAACTCTATCAGCTACACCATGACAGGCTGGTTTCATTTCTGCCTCCAGCCACCAGCAGCCAGCAGTGCAAAGCTCCTCTCTTGATGGCCTCTGTCCTTTTTCCATTGTTGTTCCCTCAGGTTCAGATAACCGTCTATTTTTGGAGGAGCTGGTCTTCAGACCAAGAACTAAAAGTCTTTGTAAAGGGCAGCTGGTGATATGTTGTAGGCTTCTAATACAAGGTCTCTGTTCAAGCAACAAAACATTTAACTCCCTCTTGCCTCATGTGCATGGCTGTGTATTGAAGAATTCCTAAATTTAAATAAAAAATTAAAGCATAATCATTACATTAAGAGTAACTAATACACTCTATTCCTTTATCACAAAAGTATGTTTTCCAGGTTTTTTCAGCTAATTTAGTGTACTATTAAGAGTATTCAAAGGAAGGATTAACATGATAGTGAGAATGGGGGAATATCAGATTTAACACCGAAAGTTTTAAATGCAAAGACTTATAGTCTAAAGTTTTAAATAATTGTTCAGATTTATAAGACACTATTCAAAGCTGTAATTGAAAACTTTTGGAAATATTCATTATATGACCCATAACAATAATGGTAAGACTTGTAAAAGTTATTAGAGTTGTCAGCTTAGCACATAAAAGTCAAGAAAATGTCACAAATATATCTCTTCTGTATATAACACTATTGGCAAATTGAATTTAGGAATTTATAGGAATGCACTAGGAATTTGATGATTTGTTTTACCTATCTCTAGAAATGTCATTCATGTAAGTGTCAGCAGCTACTAAAATGGAAATTATTAAAGAGAGAAAAAGCTGCAGAACAGCTCAAACTGTCACCTCCCTGTATCTCTCTTTCAGACCTTCAGTTTGGAAGGTCTGGCTTTCATCCTGCCTTTCCTCATTGCTTTATACAAGGCTATGTTCAAACTGGGAAAATTAGAAATCATCTCTAAGTCAAACAGCGTCTGAAACCTGTCTACAAATAGATTCTCATTCTCCAACCTAAATTTCATGGCCCACAGAATAACAGTATCATCCTTGCACAAGTGATCAAAAGTTAGGAGGAGTTCATCCAGGAATGGATGGTGGTAAACTACATCAGTGGCCATAATGTAGTCAAAGTGACAGGAAGACCTAGGAAAGTTCTTTTCCAGATCAATTCCCCAAGACAACTCCTTAACACAGGGCTGGTGTTTGCATTTCTGCTTTGTATTTTGGAGAACATTGTGCTGAAGGTTTCCCAGTAGTTCTGGCAAATCTGTGGCAGTCACAAAGGCACCTGTGACAGAGAAAACAAATATAATATTTGAATATACATCAGGACTTGAGTAAAAGCCCATTCACAAAAGCCACTGCACAAGGAACTGGTTTTATCAGGTAACTCTCACTGAGGGCAATAAAAAAAAATTTAAATATTCCCAATAGCTTTTAGACATTGCGATTAAAATAAATACTTGCTTCCTCATAGTTCTACTCTACAGATTGCCATCACAATGCAGTTGGTGGGGAGAAATCTGATATTTGCTGTATCTTGATATCACACTGGTTAAAAATACAGTGGCTGACTAGGGATTGATGAATACCAATTACTGAATCCAAGAAGTCAGCATGAGATTTCAGCATTATCTCAGGTTCTTCCCTTCTCACACAGGAAGCATTTTTCTCAGACTACCAAAAGCTAAAGTTCTGTTAAAATGCAGAACCCACTGACCTGGATTAATCTTGAAGATGAATGGGGTGCCATGAGAGAAAACACAACAATGCCTGTAGCAGAAAGATCAAGTTGCTGAAGGAAAATACTGAAACACAAATAGATAGAAGGTGACCTGGCATCCAAGAGCTGTTTGTTCAAAGAAAGGGGATGCACTGGTCATACCTACATCTGGCTCAATCTATTTGCCACTGACATCCTGTGAAGCCACTAATTTCTTATTTTGAACCCCAGTTTAACACAGTTAATGAAAACATACCTACTGGGACCTCCTTTATAGTACCTATACACTCTCAGAGAAAAAAAAAAACAACCACCAAAATATGTTTCCAAACAAGCCTTTTAGAATTTATTGTTTCTTGCTCTTGCAAGCTTTAAAACAAGTCTTTTAGAAGAACCAAGCCACATTCTTTGTCCTCACTGTTCATCTAAGAGGTATTTCCAAGAGCACAAGAAACATACTCACCCAGCAAACTGGCTACTATGGAGACCAAGCCAGTTCCAGCTCCAATTTCAATCACATTTTTGTCAACCAAATTGCATTGCTTAGAATTAGTTTCCAAAAAATAACACAGAACAAGAGCCTGTAGGGGAGGAAATCCATGAACATACGGAAAAAAAAAATTAAATAAATCACTTTACTAAATATGAATTGTCATTTAAAAGCATGCAAAAAATTGTTGTCTGTTCAAATGAGCAATATTAATTCAAGCACTATCCCTAAAGGACCACAGCTCACTATGATCTTTGGGCTCTGTAGGTCACAAAATAAATGCTACAACCTGCTTCCATATAGGTCTGTGAATTATTACAGCCAGAAGGAATAACTGCAATTAGATGATCTGCCACAATCCATGACATGAGTTGTAAAATGCCTGTCACCAATTCCTGCTTATAACTGGACTTACTTCTGGTTGAGATAAAATGTGTCTTTCACAAAAATATCTTGATATAAAGACTGCTTGTGAGAGAAAACCCCAACCCTTGTTAAGTTCTTCCAATAATTAACTATTTTTAGTGTTCAAAAGGGACAAATAGATTTACCCCCTTTTCTTCTGGTTCAATTTGTTTGCAGTGTCTATTTGCTTACCTTGTCAAGCTTAGCAAATTTTCATAGTAAATATAGCCACAAAGAGCATCTACAATAGACTCTTTACACATGTATATATAAACTGATGAAGAATCAGTTAATCTTATAGTGATTAAGAATCTTCTTCAGCTTTTCTGCCCTCTCACACTAACCAGTGACTTTTAGTTCACTGGTGAAATAGAAATTGCTAATTTTATTTCTCTCATAAAGATAGTTTCCATATTTTCTTTCATATTTTTCTCAGACTTTGATAGTTATATAGTCTCCATTGACAAATAGGATGATTGCCACATCCGCTCACAATACAAATTGGAAAGGCAATTATTAGCAGCTTGCTCTGGCTCAGCAAAATTAGTATTGCTTTTAACTAGTTAAGAATGATAGGAAAGGAACAGGAGGACTGCTGACCCAATGTTAACATGCTAGAAATTCTAACAAAGGTTTTGTTTTCTGTGCTCTTAATTCAAAGCACAGAAGAGAAGGTAATGAGAACTTACATATATCACATAATCAGCTGCACTTTGGTATAGAACTCAGTCTGTGAGAACCAAGAAAAATTAAAAGGTTCCTAAAGACTGGGTCTTATATTTAACATTATATTGACATTATATTTGACCTGATATTAGGATTTTCTCCTAGTTACATTAATTCCTCTAATTCCTTCCCTCAGGATTTCGCCATATTCTGTTGTAGAAACTGGCTGGCATAATCAAATCTCTGAGGATTAAATCAGGGAAACTTTGAAATCTGTATTCCTTTCCATGAAAAATGCAGAATCTTTACTTCCCTTAAAGTTTCTGCACTCTTGACAAATTTGGCTGACATTTTGCAGAAGATTTCAAGTACAGCTAGATGGAAGTGGAAGGGAGAACATTAAGATACAGATCAAAGGGTTGTCTTCCTTCCACAACAAAACTGGCTGAGCCCTTCCAGATTAAAAAAAAAAAAAAATCATTGAAGTCCATGATTTTGTGTGAATAATTGGTAGTCAGCCAAACTTTCCATCAAGACATGCACTGAGGTCACTAATGATGACTGGTCCAGGTCCCCTAAAACCAAGAATATCATTTGGACTCCAAAACAGAAGAGTAGGACAACTATGTTCAGCTGAACTATCACCATACTTCTGAAAAACAGTATGATCCTAGGAGGCTGAGATAGTTGTGAAAGAAATGGAGCATCCTGGGTCTCTCCTATAGGGACACAAATTTCATCATGCATTGTGGCAGCTCCCTGGAGATTTCTTTCAGTCTTAATTATTTCAAAACAGTAAGTTTGCTGCATTGTACAGATTCAAAACTTGAAGAAGACTCCTTGTACAGTGAATGTGTTGATGGCTCTTATATCAAGAGCCAAAGACAATGGTTTTCTCCAACTAGATTTCTAGCTGTTTAAGAAACTGAAAACTCCAGCTGAACATTTTCCCATGTCTGTGTATTAACAAGGTAAATTTGTTTCTTACACGAGTAGGCTGAATAGCTTCTATGAGTGCTAATACCTTGTGAGCTCATATCACAGTTGTTTCCACGACCTGCATCTGCCTGCTACACAGCCATCTGTATTTATAAAATGTACAGAAATGCAATCATCATAAAACTGACATATTTCTTTCAAAATATGCTTGTAATTGGCTAATAGAATTAAAAGTTACTGGCATGCAAGGAGGGGACACAAGTTCATACACCTAGTGTGACTGGGCCACGCACAAGAAATACCAAGTAAGCTGTGAGAAACATGAATCCTCACAAAACCAGGTTAAACTCAGGTTTGGGATTTACAGAACAGAGACAGAGAAGCACAGAATTATTTACTTGGGTTTATAACATATAAAAAAGTATATTTATTATACAAAATAAATTTTAAAATGCTAGACAGCTCCAAAAATTAAAAATAACAGTACTATAAAAAAAATTGTACCGATGGCCAGACGACTGCCCCGTAACAATCAGTGGCTTCTGTAATTCTTATCTCATGGCCGGCAAAGTGAAAGCCTTCCCAGGCCTTATAAGCTATAACATCAGGAAAAAAACGCCTTCCCATGATTTCTGCAACTATCTCTTCATCTTCTTTTTCCCCTGGAAGCAAAAGTATAAAAGGTCAAAGAGGCTGAGTGGACTGATTTAATTTTCAATTCATATTGAAAAGCTGATTTGGAAGCAAGAATATAAATTACATCTTTGAATAAAATACATTTCACCATTAATTGTTAGCATGGTACACAGCAATTCTCCTGAATTCTAATTGAAATTTCCAGTGTGTAACTAAATAACTTCTTTCTTATTTTGCTGAAGCAGCCAAGTTCAGAAAAAGTAAAGAAGGGGAATGTCAGCATACACTGCTTTCTGTTTCAGTAACCCAAAGGGAATTTTTAAACTTCTTCAAAAATAGCTGCCCTACTATGGACACTCACAGTCTTATGCACCTGGATTTTTCATTATTCTCCATATCCTTTTACTGTTGTACTGTTTTATGGTTCTTTCTGACAGTAAACAAAAGGATCCAGAATATCATTTATAAGTCTGACACAAAACTTGTGAAACAGATCCTAGCAACACAAATTATGACAGGCAGGAGTGAAAGCACTCCTGTTGTCAGGAAAGCTTATCCACCCACCCCAACGGAGCCCTGTCAGAGGGATTCTTTCCAGTTGGCTTGATATCCTGAATGCCATCCCTGTTGCTAAGCAAAGAATATTTATGATAACTAACAAAATCCTGGATAACTCTTCTAACAGAAGACGATTCATTTCTTTTAAGCAGCATACCAAGCTACTTTCAGTTTTGCCATCATCACACAAAACCACACCACAATGTCAAAAAAAAAATGTAAGTGAAGCTGTCTAGAGCATTTTCTTAGCAAAGTCTAGATTCATTCAAGTTTTTACAGGAATTTTGCTTTCATTGCCAACTATGATCTGCTGGCAAACCAGTGAAAGAAAAACATGTTTACGAGCTACGCCTTCTAGAAAGCATGCTAGACACTTAGATAACTTGGTTACTGCCTTGTCCAAAGCAGAGTTTCTGTATCAAGCAGGTTTTCCCACCAAAATCACAAATATTAATTCTGGGATCTGCTGGCTATTGAAAATGAAACCATTTATGCTTTTGTCAACATAAACCACTTTGCTCTACTGAAGATTCTTCACATTTTCTTTCCCTTCGAATCATGGGACATAGTGACCCCAAGTATTGTCATTTATTTTGCCATATGCCTCAGTATTTTTTATTGTGATAATTTATGGACAAAGTCTTCCTTCCTTCCTTGTGATACAAGCCCAAGTAACAAAAGCAGGGGTGAACAAAGAAAAAGATTATACCAAACAAAAAGACATTAGGAAGCTGCTCAGGCTCATTGGGCAGTACTTTAAGCTTGTTACTCAAATTTCAACATCACAGGAAACTAGAGAATAGCAGCAAAGAAGGAAAAAACCTAAAATATTTGATTTTGATATGTTGGCACTAAGACACAAAAACCCAACAAAAACTGGCTAACCAACCACAGTACTTGTCGAATTTATTGCAGGGGAGGAGAACCCTAATCATAGGATACAGCAAACTTAAAAATAATACCATGCATATACTACTGGAAAATTAAAATTTTCATAAATTTTATAAATGTAACTAAAATAAAATGCTCAACATTGAAACTATGGTATTTTAAGATGTTGGAAAACAAGCAGTATGTGTCAGCCTCTTCAAGCCTCTAATGTTAAGCTAGGAGAAAACACATGCATCACTGTGCCTGTAATCAGGGAGCTCTTGACAAACATGAGCTAAGTGCCAGGGAAATGCTGCTTCAGGGCAAAATTAATCTTTCTCTTATGAAAGAAATAATAAAAAGCTGTCTTATTACACATATCATAAGTGCATTTAATAGATCATCCTGTTTCCAAGCACACCAGATATATCCTGCTTTTAATCTTCTCCGATTGCTTAGAGCAGTCTGATCTTGTTCTGTGATCATTACTAGCTGTAGAAGTAAAAGCTATTCTTGCTATTACCTTTCAATTACAACCATTTTTCTTGATTCCTCCTCCTTTGACATCTGTTTTGGATCCAATTTTGTGGAGAAACTGGTAACTTATTAGGTCTTAACTTATAAAGCTCCTGTGAGAAGATCTATAAAACTTTAGCAGTATTACTGCTGCCCCTCTAGCACTCAATAAACATTTCCCACCTATTCCCTACAGGATCAGCAAACTTTCTACTTCAGGTTTGCATAGCACCTACACTAACAGAGTTTGTAAGCCACTGCTCTCTTCCTGAGAGCGGTCTGTACCCCTAAAAGAAGAATACCAAATCTGCTGATCAATAACACCACTTGAATTTTTTGCCCATCTTATCCTTTTGGTAATCTTCCAGGTGGCTAATCTAGAGAAGCTTACACTCTTTTTTGGGGTTTTTTTCCAATTTCCCTTTAAGAAAACACTACTATTGTGAAGAATAAAAAAAAAAATATCTGTTTCATCAGAGTTATCATATGTTAGACAAGGCCCAAAGGAGAAACTTTATCAGAACCAGGATACTAATGATCCTAACAGAGTGCTGACAAAATCAGGAGTACATAGTTTTAGTCAGATTCACTTATTTCATACAGTTTTCCCTTTGAACAACAAAAAACACTCCTCTGTTTGCTACTTTTTATCTTTCAGAACAACTTCTTGTGGGAGTGTACAGAAGAAAATAAGTTAATTTTTCTGTAACTGCCCTCAAAGCAGCAAGAACAGAAAAATAAAGAACTAGTGGGAAATCTTTCAAGTGACCCAAAAATTGTTGTAAGAGTAAGCAAAATCCAAGTGAGATTTTTAGGTCTTTTAATACTTGAAAACATTAAAAAAAACCAGCTGGTACTCTGATCAAACTAGTTCCTTGATAACAGGTGTAAAAAGAGAAAGGGGGTTATTCTCCTGGAAGTGTTTACCTCTGTGTTAGTGAATATTGTCTTGTTCAGGAAAAAAGTCCTGAAATTATGAGTGAATGAATGGACTCCAATGACATTTTAAGACAAAAAGAGATAACTCATCAGTAGAATAGGGTAGGATAAGAGAAAAGGAGGCTTGACTGACCTGGCTATAAATTCTTGTAAGAATGGAAGTGCATAAGACTTTTCTAGCAATACTACTGGAGCACAGATACTGAACCATTAGAACTTAAGAGTCTGCCTGCATTGGCTCCTCCCTGCTTCACAGAGCCAGAAGAAGACAAACACACACAGGTTGTTTGACCAGATAGGTTTGCCCTTACCCCTCTTCCATGACGTGGAGAAGCATGGAAGTGGTACACACACAGAGCTATTTTCTTCTGCCTATTCATCTATTTGCATGAGTAAACACAGAAATCACTGGAGTTTCTAGTGCCAGAACCTTATTTACAGTAAGATAAGGCAGTTTGATCCTGTCAAGGTACCATATAGAAATTGAGATAATTTTTCTTAGTGAAACAGAGCAAACTCCTTTGTCTTGAAATTGTGTACAAAAAGTTACCATCTATAGATTCCCCAAATTCTTCAAGAATATCTTTAAGTTTCTTAAGACTTTTTGCCTAATAGGTTAATTATTTAGTGTTCTTTGGAATATTTTAGATAAAGAATTGTTTATTGTAGAAGTCTAACAACTTTGGAGCATGTTCCATGAGCTCCCTTGATTTTACATTAATATCATTAATACAATAACATTTACCTTAATCCTGTGTAGGGAACCAGAGGATTTTGCTGACACATTCACACATCATATGTTATATGTTAGAACAAAAACCTAAAGAAAGAAAATTATGTGAGTTCTGTTAGGAGAAAGTTAGAGAAGTCCTTCAAGTAGGGAAGAGAAGGTAAAAGCAAAATCACAGGAAACAGATCAGGTCAGAATGGAACAAATTGTAATCTGCAGTATCTTTTTCTACAAAAAGGAAGGCAATCTTTATGCACACAATTTTGCTTAGAATGAGTAGAAATATTACCTGTTTAGAAACGAGATACATGATCAGCTATTTACACCACTTGTCACCTAAAATCATGCGTGGAAGTATACAGCCACATCAGAAATGGTAAACTAAAAATTCAGTTGAGTGTCTTCCATCAATTAAAAGCATATGTTAAAATCCCTCACTGCATCCCTAGTGATACTGCCTACAATATTGTATTTCCCAGTGAATGAAAAGGGAGCAGAGACAGGCACTGTAAAACAGCATTTAGAATGCAGAAAAAGCAGCAAAGATAAGGTAGCTACATCAAAATTATATTGAAAAAAATTGCCACTATCTAGACACCTGAACTAAAACATAGCTAAAAAAGTGAAAGCTGTGAAGAATATACTAGCACTCAATATCTCCATTTTCAGACTCATTCACAAAAAACACATAGAGTAACAAAACATGCTCCAAATATTTTGTCAGTGGATTAGAAGAAGTATTCATTCAGAAAAAAATATTTTCACCCATTGATTCATGGGAACTGCCTACAGGGAAGAAAAAAACATATTAGTCCCTTTTGAGTCTTAAGGCCTGACTCTGCTTAATCTCAGGAGGTCAAATGGTGTCACAGCCCAATGTCACAAGGAAATAAGATCCAGTCATCTTCTGCTTCTCTCCTGCTTCAATGGATTTTCTCCAACTGGCAAAAGGAATGAAATCCAAGACTTCAGCATGAACTTGACCTGACAAAGTTCAGCCCTACAGCAACAAATTCTCCCATCTTCAGAAGCAGCACACTCTCACCTGTAGAGTTTAGATTTAAAGTTCACAATTTAGACTTGTCCTTATATTAATACTATGCATCAACAGCTGTGAATATGGTACCTCTGTGACTTCTCAGCAATTGGCTCCTCAAAGCAGGACTACCTGTACTGATATTACTGATTGAGTAACATTAGAGAGTTTCCAAGAGATTCCAAGAATTCATAATACCAAGGAATCTTCAGATCACCCCCCCACTCTGGACACACAGGAGTGGAGTCATCCAAACTAAATATTTAAGATGTATTTTATTTATATAATGTGGAAATAATATAAACAATACATGTTTATTATTAAAAATATATTATACCCCAGTAAATCCATTGGGTATTTCCAATGGCTCGCACCAAGTTTATCCTAAAACTACATAAAGGTCACAATAAAGGACTCTGGAGTCTCAGAATTTTTGCTGAGCTACAGACATGTCAGGATCAGAGCCCTGGTCCTACAAGCACTACAGATAGCTCTGTGGAAACATACACAATCCTGAATGACAATGTAGTCCCTAAATTTCCGGCAGCATCACTTTAGTATCTTTATTTCATTCCACTTATTTCTATTTTACTCCATTTCAGCATAAGAGCCCATACAGGAAGGTGTTAGGAGGGAAAGCTAATCATACTCTTCACAGAAGTCAGATGTAACCTACACCTTTCTAAGAATATAAAGCAAATACCATTCCAGTGTGTCTTAACTGCACAGTTAGTTTTTCCTTACATCATCCCTACCTGCAAAAAAGGATATCCTCACGTTAGTGTAGGCATTCCACTACATTCATTACAAGCTCAGTCTGCTGAAGTGATGGCAATGAAGGCATGTATTCTATTGATTAATCTGAGATACCATGTTAGGGAAACAAAATGCTTGAAACTTTATACTTTGAAATGCAGAAATACAAAACTGCCACCCACAGGCAGCCTCTTCTCAGCCAAGACAAGATGCACTTAGCCCAGAGCATGAGGACACAAGAACAGGAGAAGGGCTTGCTCACAGTATCCAGTCTATGCATTCACCCAGGATTGAGAGGTGTGTTTTCAATTTCAAATATACACCACTGATATCCCAGCCCTATCCAAGTCAAAGGTCATCTAAAAACCATTAAACGGCTGAAAATAGAAGTACTGTAGTCATTTTATCTCATGAACACCTAATGAATTCAAGTTTGCCAAGTACTTCCCTTGTTACTTCATCATGTTTGTCTGTCATTGAAAACATCTCCAACTCTAGGCTCAGAAGCTATTTAATTTCTAAAAATAACTAAACTGTTTTCCTTTGACTACAAAGCAGACTTTGTTCTTAATTTAGATGGTCTAATATACATTATAAAAGCCAGCTACTTCCTGACAGATAGGAAGAGACCTAAAAAAATGCTGGTATTCACCTACCAATAATTCTGGATTTCTAAAATATTCCTTTGCATGAAGGACCTGAAAGTAACCTAACAACACCAACCCATGCAGTCACACCACTTTTCTCATGTGGCAGTTGAGATATATTATTTATTGTGAAAATCCAGCTACTGCAAAGGCTAAAGAAGAGAAAATAGGAAAGATGGGCGCATGGCTGAGAGAGAAGAATAAGTTACAGATGTCTCTACAAAGGTAATGCATGCTTTGATTATTTGAGTGTTACCTCCAACTTCTGTCCATATGCAAGAAGTTTTCACTTGCGTTTAGCAACGTCTTAAGCAAAGATAGTGTGTCTACTTATTGAGGGGAGAGAAAGAGAACAGAGAAGTGTTAAATTATAATAAGGTGGGCCATTGGGAAATCAGGACTGCAAGAATCATGCTAGAAGGATAACAAGCAAGGAAAAGTCCAACTACAAATTGGGCACTCGGTTGTGAGGAGGCAGACTTGGGGTCCATGCTCAGGTCCCAGGATGTTTTTCACATTTTACAACAAAGTCTTTGAAGTCAGTGAAAAAGTGTCAGTGCAGAAGAAAATGAGAGAGATAAGAAGTATCTTTAGAAGTAACCCAGGAAATATGAATGAGATGCTACATCACTACCTCTTCCCAGCTGAATTATCTTAAATTGTAAATTACAGGGTTAGGATGCTTTCCACTTGGCTCCATTCCAAGTAGGTCCCACTTAAGGCACCACTCTGGATTCCACCAAGATGCTTGAAATGATGGCAGGAGTTGCTATCAATTAGGCCATCTGTCAGGCAGAGCAAGTAGAAGGAGTGTGTCCCTTCTGAAATGTCAGGAGTTACGAGAAGGTTACTAGGTCAGCATTTTCTCAGATATTTATGGATTAAAAACTGAGTTGTGGCCAAGTGAAGTGAGACAAATGGACTGTCAAGGACAAGTACACCTTGCAAACTTGCTCTTCTCCTTTTGTCTCAGAGATAAAATTATTCTGGGATGAATTTACATAATGCAACTAGGGTAAAGTAATTTAGTATCCCAAGAAATTAAGACAGGAGTGGTAGCATCTGGTCACAGAAACATTTAGCCAAGGAGAGTTAAAGCTAATACGAGAAATTATGTGAGGAAAGTGAGACATTAACAGTGCAGGTGTGGAGAACTAATTGTTTAAAGTCACAAAAGGAATGATCAGACTGGATGAAGACTGACCTGTAAACTGAGAACCAGTAGTAATGGGAATCATTAACAAAAATAAGGAGTTTAAAACTGGAGAACATATGACAAGTAAATTAATAAACAAAGGGGAAGGCACCAAATATAAAGAGCTCAGAATGTGAGGGTGGTACAACACTGGAAGAGGTTGCCCAGAGAAATTGTGGATGTTCCATCCCTAGGAGTATTCAAGGCCAGGTTGGATGGGGCTTTGAGCAACCTGGTCTAGTGAAAGGTGTTCCTGCCCATGGCAAGGGGTTTAGAAGTAGATGGTTTTTAAGATCCTTTTCAACCCAAACTATTTTGTCAGTCTATGATCCTATGTCTGAAACTTGTAAAGAAACAGAGCTGGAATAAGAACCCTGAGAAACAGATATTGAGACTGGGCAGGTGAAATAATGAAATAGGAATGGGGAAAGCAGTAGAGAAAAAGGATGAGAACAAGGAAGACACAGGTTCAGAGTAAACAAACAGGCAAATCTCCATGCATTGGGTTCAGCACCCTTCCACCTCCAGAACCTGGCACAGAACTTAAGATGGCAAAGTTTGTAAAGTCTGTAAAGATACCAAATTTTCCATTCATGTCTCCTCATTCTCTTAGACTAATGTTCATAGACATAGAAGAGAACTACCTGGCTCTACACTGACCACAACTCATCTGGGATTTAAAACAAAAATCTTATGAAAATAAAATAATTTTTTTAATCTCCTCCTTTTACACTCAGCTGTAGAACATAACTAGACGCCATCACAAAACATATGCATTTGTCCTAAGACCTTGCCTACTCCTGGTGACCACTAAAAAGGAGGACTATTTATGAAGCTTTAGAATCCTCAAAGATGTGCAGCCATGAAAAGACTTAAGAGGAAACACTGCCAACAGCCCTTGAAGGTAGGGTCTGAGGCTGTCTAGACAGAAATCAAGCTTGTAATAACCAATTCTCCTAACTGACAGCCTATAAACAAACCTTCTGAAAAGCTTGATCATAGTCACAGCTTCATTCCTTGGAACCAGACACAGGCAAATAACTGGAGGAGAGCTGCCAGGCACCAGCAGCAAACTGCCAGGACAAGAGTATGCAGGTGTAACACACTTGAAATACCACATGCGTTGCTAGCATACTACAACAATCTGTTGTATCTGTTGCTATCTGTTGCATTTCCTATACAAATGCCATAAACACAGTTTTTCAGAAAAAAAATAGAAGATAGCTCATTGTTAGCAAGACATTTTGTTCCTTATACTTAATAATATTCTTAAGGGTAACAAGTAAACATAGTGAAATAAGAAACATTTACCTTCTTGTCTTTCAAATTCTCTGACCCGTTGATTTTGTAGATGATTATGTTGTGATGATGTCAAATCCATACTATGCCACAAACCCTAGGACAGAGAAACACAAGTCTGTCTCAGTAAAATTACTCCATTTCTTCTTTCACACCTAAGTTTCATTTTTTAAAAATTACATGTATTATGCTACAATTTACTTCTATTGATAATAAAGATATGAAGACACATAAGTATCAATATTCTAGGCATAAAAGTACAAGACACAGCAAACTAGTTCAACTGTTATATTCTCAAAGGAAAAAGAACAGATTTTTAAAAATAAAAACAAACAAAAAAAATCTTTGATTAGTGTTTAGAACTATTTTATGAAATTTTAAAGTTAGAATCAATTAAAATAGGGTTCAGTAGGCTTATAAAGGATTGAAAGGAAAGATAGGAACAAATTCCTGAAAGAGAAGAAAAATTGCATCAATATGATCTAATCTTGTTTGAATTAATTGGCTTGGAAAAGAAGGAAACAATCTAATAGTAAAAGCATCACATGAGAGTAAGGCAACAGGATCTACAAATAACATGCTGAACAGAAAGCATATGTGCCTATATGAACAGACAAAGAACATGCTGGAGAAAAAAGTAGTAGGAAAAGTGGGACAGAGGACAGTACAGTTTTCAGTTGTCTGCAGAAAAGCAGACAAACAACCAATAGTCTCCAATTCTTCATATTTTACAATCAGAAAGAACACTGAGTTCACAGAAAAGAAGAAAAAACAAACAAACAAACAAACAAAACCAAACAAACAAAAAAAAAATCACAACAAACCCACAGTGCTTTATTAGTTTTGATACTTTGATACAATTTTTAAATGCCCACTCTTATGTGGAAAATTTGACTGATTTCTGCCAGGATGGTTTCAGGCAGCATACAGTTAATAATCTACAGATGTCTAAACACCCAATAGGGATGCAACTAAATAAGGCAATGACTAAAAGAGTATCTCTCCATAGAGGGATTAAACAATAAAAAGAAAGAAAAAAAGAAAGGACAATCAAAATAAAAATATATTCTGAATATCAAATAAACTTCACAGTGTAAAGTCTCAGGCAGGTTTTTCTCTCAAAACTTCAGGATAAAGATGACAGTATGGAACAGTCTTCTCCTGTATGAGAGGATGCACCTTACTCTCTTGACTTCACATGACAAAAGGCACATAGGTTTAATGTTTAACTTCACTGCTACAATACCAGCAGTCATTATCCTGTTTGAAGGTGAAAATAACTTAGAGGCTTTCTACATGTCACCACAGCACACAGAACAAAAATACTGCCATAATATTTTTGTCTTTACATGAACTTAGCAATAGCAACGTCATTAGATAGGCAACAGAAAAGAGACTCAGTGGGAGAGACTTCAAAGTCTTTGTATGCATCTTCAGAATAACAAGTAGCATAAGAAATTACAGGGATATTAAGCAGAAAATATTATACACATTCACCAGCTTGTTGTCTACATCAGAAGTATTAGAAACTACAATTTTTCTTCCCATTAGAAGACATAATAAAAGGTAAAATCACCCTAGAGGACAAAGCCTTTGTATTTTGCGATCCTCTACATTTTTTATGTTATTCTAAAAATATCCTGAGGTGCACTGAACTACACAGCAACCTAAAACACGGGCATTCAGGAGTGCTGCAAGCAACTAAACAGCGTGGAACAGCTCAGTTACACTGTTTAAAAACAAACTACTTTAGCCTAAAAGACAGAGACGGGTGAAACATCACTGGCATCCACCGCATTTCGGTCAATGTTACCTGAGTCTCTCCCAGCTTTCCCAAGATGGTGCTCCAACAGCAAAGTCCTTATCTTGCCGGTGGCTTCCCCGCAGAGAGCCGCAGGCAAAGGCGTGTTCCGAAGCCCGTGTCACACAATGCCAACATCCCCGCTCCGGCAGCAAGCACAAATCCCGACAGCTGCAGCCCGAGCGCCAGGAGGGCACCGCACAGCCCTTGCCCAAGGAGAGATTTTGTAACAGCAAGAGGCACCCACTCCAGAGAGCTCCAACCACAAAGTAACCAACTTGGGAGTACTGTCTACAAAATAAATACTGGCAGGGTGTGTGCAACTCCTCACCCTTACTAAAAAGTAACCCGAGAGCACAGTCGTTCTTCAGAGCCAAAAGGGTCTTCCAAGAGAAAAATTCACCAAGGGGCAGGGGTGCTTTTGCAGCTGCGGTATAGGAATGCAAGCTCCCGTTGGAATGCAGAACTGTAGCAAGGCACACAACCCCAAAATCCTAACCCCAGCTGTCACCCTGCACAAATATAAGCATACCACTCCTCCACATCCTAGATGTTCATGCACACTCAACAGATCACAAACACTGTTGTGGGTCCAAATACAGGTATCTAAGATATCTCTTTTTTAGACTGTAATCAATTCAGGACAGGAGCCACCTCCCCCTTTAGACATTTTCTAGAAAAATTAGGCTTCAACCTCAACTGAGTTTTCTAGGTGTTACCAAAAAATAATAAATTATTGTACCAAAATACTAAAGAAGTCCTACAGAGAAGTACCATAGCTAGCAGAAGAAATTTGAGGGAGCTCTTTTACATTTATAAAAATGTCACCAAGGACCTGATACACACTTTTAAAGTAAAATTCAGTAATGGTAACGAGTGATTTATAAAATAGTGCTGTAAATTGGCTGGACAGGCTGAGAATTTGCTTAAAATGTTACAATCTTTTAGAAAAGTAGCATCAAAAGGGATGATTTTTGCCCAGTATAAACTGCACATGAAGTATTAGACTCCCTGCAATTGCATGGGCAAAATCTCACCCAGTTCACCTCAGACCCTCACCCATTTAGGGGAGGATAATGTCTCATAAAATACTTTAATGTATGGACCTAGATTTCCAACACCGGATGAAGCAATAAGAAATGTCAAATGAGAAGAAAAGAAAAAAAAAAGGAAAGAAGAATAAAATGAAACGTAAGATCACAAGAAGTAAGGTGGGTAGAATGCTGTGTTTTTCCTCCTTATTACCCAGGAGCTGGAAATAAATCCTACATTCAGAGAAGAGAGGCATGTGAGAACTCTGAGCTTCACATCACCACACACAAATTAATCCAACGTGAGTGCTGCAACCAGTAGTTATCTCTGAACATCATCTTTGCAAACAAATACCATCTTTGGACACAGCTATGTAACTCCAAACATTCAGAACATAAACAATTATGGCACATCAGATTCTAGAGGGACTTGCTGTACTGTATGTTTTTCCTTGAGATTTTTTGAGGGTTTGCATCCTGTCTCTTCAATAAACAATATTACTTTGGGCACAAAACTTTCAAGACAGGCTTAGGGAAGAGAAGAAGAAAAGCAAAAAAATTGAACCTATTTTACTTTTTGAAACACCTAGAAATAACACAAGTAATTTTCAGAATTTAATTTAAATTTCAAGTTAAGAAGCAACAGATTGCAGGTGATTTTAACAGCTCTATCAAATCAATTAGAATGAAGATAAATGAACATGTTTTGGCTCAATTTTAAAATCTGAAGCCTGAAAACTTCTATCAAGTGCAATCTAGGTCTTTCTGAGTAAATGTGCTAAAATTAGTGTTTTCATTGTTTAGAATCACTTCTATTTAAGTCCTGGACAGAAAATGCGTGACAAAATGCATTACAAATAGAGATAATTTATTGCATTCTATAAAGAATTCATTAGAATATTTACAAAGCTCAAATCAGAAAAATCACAGTCTTTTTAAATATTTTTAAGACATTTTCTTTCTTATTCCTCTCTTGCTCCGTGATTTCTTTTTTCTGCCTTCAAACACAGGTTTGGCAGTCACCATGACTACATTTCCCAGGTCTTCATCCTCACCACTTGAGCTGCTGTGCCCTTTTTTCTCCTTATGGTCTGTTGTCTGTGTTGCAGACATGTTTTTCTTCCTTTTGCTCTTGCCTAAATCTCTGCCTTTGGATTCCTCCACTGAGGAGTCACTAGAAGTTTCTGAAAGATGCAAATTTCCAACAAAACCACCTCCATATAAAAATTCTTTTCTGGAATCTGAATGTTTTCTTCTCTTTCCACTCTGTGCTTCTGCTGCTGCAGCTTGATTTGCAGCACCTGTGGTACCTTTCCCTTTCCTTTTCCCAGGCTGTTCCATCTCTGTGACAGCAGTGGCCTCCTGAACTTCATCATCTGCTTCCTTTTCCTTTCTCTTCAGACAAGTCACAGCTCTGCGTAGTCTCTGACTTTTAATAGCTTGTTTTTCATGCTGTTCGAGTCTGAAGAATGAATCAATTCGAAGCTGAGTCTATCAAAAACAAAACAGAAACACAGTTGAATGTCTTTGTAATGGGAATTCAGTTGCTAGCTATATTATAAAGCATCTGAAACTAAAACAGGGCAAAGGAGTAACGAAATTAATACATATGCACACAGATGTGAACAGTAAGATGCATCATTATAGTAATACCCATACTTTATAATAAATTAGGCAACAAGAACCTTTAGAGAAATTAATAATTAGCAAACTCCAGTGAGATTTCATAAACATTGTGCTGCTGATGATTAGACATATGTTGCTATTGTCAACCCTAATACAGAGAATTTCTGTAGTGCTCTTAAGTATGTCTTTACAAACACATCCTTAGCTTCCAGCTGTTAAAGCAGAATATTTGCTAAGTAAATGCTGTAAGTGCACTTTGCATTTGTGCCTCCAAGTGCAAGTATACACAGGCTTTTGACTCAAGTTCATTGCACCACATGCTGCTACAGCATAAAGACTGAAAAGTAGAACTAACAGTCATCACACAGTGTGGATTTGTGCTATTCAACCACAGCTAGGCTTTTTGTACAGGCTAAGCCATTCCTCTACGTTTTCTGTAACATCTTCTAAGAGAGACAGACACTTCCAAAGGAGATTCCACTCAACCTGAAAGTATATGTAACTACGGGGGTTTCACTCCACTCAGTGATACAGAGAACCTAGAACACTGGTTTAAACAATGTATCTATGTTGTCTGTGGCAAAAGGGAAAAAAGAATCTGACACTAGGGATCAATTTTACAACCCACTTTGACAGTTACCAGGGCCGGCATCACTATTCACTTTCAAGTGTTAATAAAGTTGACAGAACATTTACTTGGAAATTAGAGTAATATTATTAATGGACACTTGCTCAGCAGTTCAGTCTGCACTCGTCCTCAAAGGACGTGTGCAGCATCAAATGGACACTATCACTCCACCAAAATCTCAGGGGCACTTTTATATACTTTATAAAGTGTTTATAGAACACTGTCTTCTAGAAGTAGTGAAGTTGCTTGAGGTACCTGTAGCTTGACTGTGTCCAGAAAAAGCAGCAACCTGGACTTGAGATGGGTGCTTGATAGGCAAGGAAACTTGAAACCAAAGTCTGAAATTATGCAGAGTCCCTCAGAGCACATTCAAATCATACAGAAATGAAGTCTAGAGAAGCAAGCTTAGTGATTAAAAAAAAATATATATATAAAAGATTAAAAACCATAACCCAGCTTCTGAGAAAAACATTTTACTTCAAAGCCTTGCTGTTCTTTTAAAATGCTTCTCTCACAATTTTCCAGTTATCCCTAAACTACAGGCAGACTTTTACCTGCTGCAAATTCAGCTGTTTCATCACAGGCAAGAGGATTCCATCTATCTTTGTTGTAGTCCAGCCAAAGTGATCCTTGCAGAATGTGCAGAAAGTTAAGGAACTTTACCAAATGGGCACTACTGGTATTTTGTAAACACATAAAATGAAAATTCCTGAAGTAAATAATGCCTGGAGGAAAGCTGCTCCACTTCAAAGCTTTTTTTACTACAAAATCAGACAAAAGACTCTTGATTAAAACAACATACCACAATCACACTACTCCATCTCCATTAGCTGCAGAACTTTTTCTCTAGTATCAGCATTTCCCAAACCATGTCTCAATGAAGACAGAACTCATTTTGGCTAAATGATATTGCCATAATACAAAATGCCTATAAATATACCTTATTTTTACACTTGCACTTACTGGAAGTTTTATTTACTGTTTAAAACACTATTAGCTCTGCATTTTTTGCCATCTACTTTTCAATAGTTCACTGCAGCTCAGACTGCAACTGAAGCAAAAAGTAGGCATTTTTGGAAGAAATTCAGGAAACAACTAGGGATAAAGTGCAAACTGAAACATCATTTCTGTCTAGACTTCAAGACTTATTTGTGAAAAATGGCAAACACACAGAGGGAGTGTGCAAACAATCCCACTTCAAGAGGAGAAACAGACACAGGACAGTTACATAAACGTAAGTTACAGAAATACCATATCACAACAAACTAGTCAGTTCAGCTACAAGATTATCTTTGCATGCAAAGTGAGGCAGCCCACTCTCTTAGGAGGGCAGAGCAGCCCTGACTGCCACATACACATGGCAGCATTCCCTTCTGTTCCAGAGGTGGCATCATTTTAGGGGAGCACATGCAGATAGGGCTTGGGGCCCCTCACAACAAGGAGATGTTAAGAACTTGACACTCCATTACTGACTCCTTACAAACTAAGTACTTTTACCTAACAAATAAAAGGATATTCTCTGATCTGCTCTACATCAGGCTTTCCCCAGGTGAATGAACCCCTTGACTCATCCACCACAGGTTTCAGGTATGCTTCTGCCACTGCTGGATTTGGGAAACCTGAATAAAGCTGTAGCTCCCGCAGTTTCTTCTTGACTTTGGTGTCATGTGGATTAGGCCTCACTTTCTTATTCTTCTGAGCCTCATTCCACCAGTCACTGAAAAATAGAGAAAATTATTAATTTGCCCCATAAAATAAAATTTGAAATATCAAGAGCCACCACGCTAATTTCAATAGCCTTAGTCTCCCTACTTCAATTACTACAAGAGATGATGTA